GGGGGGGGGGGGGGGGGGGGGGAGTGTGTTTCAAGGAATAAACCCAAGATTGTAAACCTTTTAAGGGTAAGTAAGCATCTGTAGAATGAAAGATGAGACATTAAAGTGAGTTTTAATAAAAAAAAAGAAAAAAAACTTACCCAACAATGCTGAGCCTCATCCTATCCACCGAGATGGTCTTTACACTGCTGTGAAGCTCAACACGAGCAGTTGTTTCTGTAGCATCTTTCACTATACCAACATATCCTGCAAGCAAACAACAAAGCAAATACCAGCCATCATTTCTTATTCTTTGGAACAGTCTTCCTTGTGACTTAAGGGAAGCAGAGTCCCTGAGGCAGTTTAAACGCTTACTCAAAAGAGATGTACAAGGCATGGCATTCGTGGAAAGCAGCTTTTTTTTATTTAATTATTTTCACTATTAGTTATTAGTAGTTTTAGCTGCCGAATTTTTAACCGTGTTTAAATAAAGATTATTTATCTATCTAACCCCTTTTACAGTGAAACAAACTCCTTCCCAAGAAATCTGCTACAAGACTTGTGAGCATTGGTACTCCTTTTGCCAGAGTTAAAACTTTATCGACATTCTTTCCTTTAAACAGCTGTCACCACGCTCTAACAACAAACGTCACTGTCATTTACCTTTATAAGGACCCTGTGAAATTCGCACAGTCTGTGAAATAAGAGACATATCACGACCTCCACGGCCTCGACCTCGACCTCGTCCCATGCCTCCTCTCTGTCCACCGCGGCCACCAGCACCTCCACCAGCTGACAGGACAAAAGTTAGCTGTTAGCAGGTTTGTCTAAAACGATTTGTACCATTGCTTATAGCAAGTCTAACAACTGGCTAGAGAGCTCACCTCCTTCTCTGGCTGGACTTGTTATTCTCGGGGAGGCTGGAGCAAATCCACTGATTCCCAAAGTATTTGAAGCTGCCTGAAAAAAGAAACATTTAAGAACCCATTAGGCTAAACTTTCCTAGTTAAGCATCCTTCACATAAGAACCATTCAGGTTCTTATTTTCAAAACATACAGTTTCTTTAAATCACATGCAATACAAAAAAAGGTGACAAAAACTAGTCAGAACACAGGCAGTGTTATAACACCACAATAATGTACTGTGAATGATTCAATATAAAGGCCACATCCACGAGTACAAGTTGTTTTTTTTAAACAAAAATTAAGAACCTAATTAAGAACCTAGGTAGCCTAATTTCACAGTAAACACCATTTATATAAGAACCTATGGAGGCTAACTTGAAAAAACATTGGTTCATATACGCAGTTTTTTACGGTAATGCATATCCTATTTCATTGTTAGACCTGGCGTAATGAAGTAATATCTCCTTTCCTTGACTGTTTTCCTCCCTATCCCTGCCCCACATACATTTTACTCTTCCCACCCTCCCAAATAGAGTTAACAGCAGAATGTTTGATTATTCTTTACCTTCCCACCCCCTGCCAGTACAAGGTGTTTTGTCCTGCACACGATGATCCCACCGTTCTCTATCACCATCTTAGAGGATAAGAATGCAAAGCTGCGGTAAAGATGCTTGATCTCTCCTTGCAGACCCTAAGAAAGAAAAGCAAAGTTTCAAGCAATAAGCACTAAAAGTTGACAAGTCTCGGTTTAATTTAAAACTCTGCTGGCTGGTGACATATCTGCATTAGAACTAAATGGCAGGACATCAAACAAGAAGATTTTTGCTTACATGAGTTTGCAAGTGTTTGAGATAGTAGTACTTACAGCATGTGGCCCTTCAATGACTTTAACTATATCTCTGACTTGCACAGTGTTCTAAAAAATAGAAACAAGTATAGAATTAACAAGAATTTCAAACAAGATTGCGATCATTCTTTATAATTGAGACAACCCTTCATTTGTCGATTAACTGCATGAATTTCTTTTCAGGCTTAAATTTCACAATGCTTAAGTTGTGTGTATAACTGCGATGATCAATCATATCTTCATAACTACATCTATCATAAGCCTTAACAACACGGTGGGTTTTTAAGCCAATAAGGCCCCGTCCACCCCATGCC